ACTGAGCTTGATGAGACTATTGCGTACCATGCTGATGGGCGTGGAGTCTGGAAGATCTGGAATGAACATAAGGTAAACTTTCTTCTTCCTTGCTTAATGCCCCCATTAAAGGCATGACATTACTTTATTTCTGCTAGATTAATTCCCTCAAGCCACTTAAGCTAGGTGACTCATGAGAGAGATACTTTGAACTACTGCATTCAGAAGATGAAACTCATTGATGTGGGATCTCTTATATTCAAGGGTATTTACAAATTGATTAGATATAATTCTATAGCGGAATTGGGTTTTCCTTCTCTTATTTTTACTATTTGCAAAGACTCTCGAGTAAAGTATGAGACTTGGGAGGAACAATTAAAGCCACTAAAGCCTATTGGAAAGGCTAATGTGGATATTTATGGAAGATTTAGAGGCACAGCTTCTAACATTCCATCTACTTCTACTTTTGGACCTTTTGCCTCCTTTACTTCTATTCCATCTCCTAAATTTTGGGATGTTATGAGTGAGAGATATTTAGAACACCAGTCTGAGATTTTCTTAATTCAGTGTCGCATGCAAGATATGGAACAAAGATATGATCATGTAAGACAATACATATCGAGGAAGAGCGACTATGATACGACTTATGATGAATCATTAGTGAAATTTTTGAAGTGTTTTCATTCAGTTGAGTTTCCTATTTGCCCTCGATTTTCTCCATATGAACACCGTAAGTAGATGGATGAAGACATTCCTGAATTTGATGCTAATGTTAAGAAGGATAACTACATAGAGTTTACTTTTTTGTTACAGATCTTTCATGTAGAGTTTCTCTATTTAGACAATTCTTGTATGTCTTTATATAAGAATGATGAAGTTGCACTTTCTGTTTTGATGGTTTAATGTTATCGTTGTTCTAATTTAGTTTATATTGTTTGTGTGTTAGAGTAACCTTATACGTTGCACTTAGCACCTTTTGGTACTTGTACCTGTACTGTTTACAGATTTAGTACCTTGTTAAAAATTGATAAAATTTTCTCTATTCATACTTATTTTATATTTTAATGTTTTACACTATTTAAAATTTCAAGTTTGAGGGAGGGAGAAGAACGTTTTAAAACTAAACTTTATTTGTCCTCAATAAACTTTATATTTTCAAAAGTATTTTAATATAATTTGTGGTATGTGGGGTTAACTTTAAATAATTATATTTTTAATTTTATAAATGTTATAGTAAAATTAAGTAAAAGTTTTAAGTGATAAAGGGTAAATTTAAAGTTAAGATATCTAGTATAAAGGTATAGGAATGTGCTTTTACTATTCAGAGTAAGAAAAAATGTATTTTTGAAACAATAATGATTTTATAGGTACACTTTTAAAAAGAATTTGAAACTCTATGAAAAATTATTACTGCATTAATACCCATTTTTAAGAAAAGAAATATGAGAAGTTTTTAACTTTAAGAAGAGGATAGTGAAGTTAAAAATCATTAAAAGGCTATCCAGTTATAATAATTCTCACATGAAAAAAAAAAAGAAAAGAAATGATTGAAAAGAATCCTAAAAAAGAAAAAGAAAAACAAAATCAAAAGAGAAGAAAAAAAATGAAAAAAAAATATATATGTGGGGAGAAGCTTGAGGAGATGCATAATTAAAAATCGGCTTCACTTGAACTTTCTTAAAGGAAAAACCTTATTTACACTTATGAACTTTTATAAGTACTAGTCTATTTACTTCTAGGGTTCTCTTATAATTCTTTTCTTATAATTCTTCTAAAATTCCTTATTGTGACAAATTATAGTTAATTTTTGAAGTGAATAGAAAATCAGAATTCCTAAATTGAAAACTGGATATCTTTTTATTTTTATTTTTAACCTAAGTTATTTAAAACCTTTCTAAAAGTTTCATTATCAGATTTATGAGACAAAACTATAAGAATCTTTAAGTGAAACTCATTGTCATAAGTTACTTGCTTTGCATAGTACAACCTCGTAGCAGTCAAAGTTCACTCAAATGGATGGGATAGATGGTGAAGGGACCTTCTTTACTTTAGCATCTTTTTCGTCTATCTTGAGGCCTAGATCTATTTGTAAAGGTGCTAGTTTATTATTAAAGAAAGAAAGTCAAATCTTTCTAGACAAGATTGAGATTCAATACAGAAATCAAGATCTAAGATCCGTAAAGAAAGATCCGGAAAGAAAGACAGTATTCAATAGAGATCTCTTTCTTTCAGGAAACATATATCAGAAAGAAAGAGATCTTTCCATACATATCCTGTCAGTCTAGCTACTTCTTTCTTCTTTCATATCCTGAACAGTCGAGTATAGCAAGCTATCCTGTCAGTCGAGCCTCTAGTTTAACGTCAAAACGTCCACACTCAGACCTCATTTTCATGCACCCAAGCCAGTGAGAGCTTAACCTTAAGAGGGGAGAAGACGTGCTATGAAAAGGGGCTCCCCCAAGCCAAAAGAGATGATCTAGCTCTTTCTAGATTGACAAGCACTGCACCAGCAGTCTCAGGTTTAGCTCTGCCTAAATCAATCTCTCTTGAGATATGAGATTTCCTGAAAGTCAAGAAGGCATGCAGTGGGGCAAAGAATGAAGGAGCTCGACTGAACACCTACAAAATCTCTCTTTCAAGAGTGAACATTTCAATCTTGAAATTTTAGAATGGAAATTGATGTTCACTAACCTTTCAATTATTCTTTCCTAAAAAGTTGTGTTCATCCAGTTCTAGAAGTACTGACACCAAACAGGTAACGGGTTTGCTAGAGCATTTTGGTTCTCAGGCTCTATTGGGCGCTAGCTGATCACCAACAAGCGTTACTTGAGGACAAATAATGTTTAAGTTCAGGGGATTTGAAACACCTCAAAATTATCTGTTTTTATCTATGTATTTTATGCTTATTTTTAATGATATTGCACTTTAATGAAAGTTATCTTGTGTGTTTTTTATTTCAGGTGCAAGAAATGGAGTTTAAAATAAAAAGGAGTAGAAATGGAGAAAAAAAGGTTCAATTGAAGCCAAAGGCACAAAAGTTGACCTGGCGCCTAGGTGTCAGAATCTGGTGTCTAGGCGCCCAGATGTTTTAGAAGGCTGGTGCCTAGGTGCAATGGTTGGGCGCCTAAGCACCAGAAATGGTTTGTCTAATATTCGTTAAATTTGAAAGGATTTCTAAAAGGTTTCTTAAGTGACTCTTGGTTATTTTCAGAGCTCTACATATAGAAGACATTTCAACACGTTTAGAGGAGGAAAAATGAGAAAAACTTTGTTTTTATTAGTAGTTTACACCACTATAGGGGTGGGCAGCCATTATAATGGGAGTGTGGTGATTATAGAGTCTTGTGTGAGTCTTTTGTAGTCCAGTTTTGTCAGAAACATTTAGAGGATTGCATGGGGATATGTTTGAGATAAGTATTTGTACCTTTGTTTAATATTTATCTTGTAAACTTGATTTTTCTGTATATGATGTTTTTTTTGTTATCCCCATGATTTCTGAGTAGTTTTCTTTTCTTTCTCCTTGCAAAAATAAGTAATGATGTGTGGGATCAGAATGTTTTAAGAATTTATTTTATTCAAACAATTTGTGATGGTATTTTCACCGATTCTTCGTTTATTTTACAAACTAGCAGCCATTTGTGATGTTAAAAGTCATTGCAAAACATAATGACCCAGGAGGGTTATGATTTCAATGACCCAAGAGGGTTATGATTTCACCTAATGAGTACCACACTAAAGCTTGGAGGAAGAGGATGCCAAATCCAGGGGGAGTGCAAATAAATAGGGAAATAAGTTTTGATTGGTGTAGAATTGGTGTTTCGAGGGTAATAGTCTAGATGCTTTACCAATTTGGTCTATTGTTGGAACTAAGGGTCATTGGTAGGTCCAATATAGAGAGCACAGTGGGTAATATAGAAGTGAGAGACTAGAATTTACTCAGCACTACCACACAAGCTGGAACTAACTTTAGATTAGCATATGTTCTTTATGCTTGGAAGAGGTAAATAATATGTATGCTTCTATTTATCATAATACCTCATTTTCATCTTTAATTATTTGATTCCCGCACTGATTTACACTCTTTGCAAGGGGAAAAACTTTTTATAAAAATCGCACTCCTTTACACATTTAATTTTGATACTTTGCATTTACTTTTAATAGAAGTAGCCACTTTAGTTACATCCTTTTATAAACAGTTTGATATTATTCTTCTGAAAATATAGTTTAAGGTTTAAGTAGAAATATTTCTAAGTTAGCATTTTAAAATCCTTATTTTTTCATGTGGGTTTAATATTGGGGTTTTTAAGGAAAACTCTATATTACTTGAACTGATACGTATACTTGCGTAGTACCCCAAGTCTGTAAACCTTTAATCAATTTAATTACACTTTTATTTTACATACTACTCGTTGAATATAAATTGGGTTAACATTTTGGTCATCTTTTCAGACTTAAATAATTACGTAATTGCGGGTCAGGTCACAAGGTCCACTGAAACCCATCAGCGACGCTGACCGAAAGTCCTCAGTCAGGCCAACTAAAGGCCCTCAACCAACTTAACCGCCGGTCCTGATTCTGCTAAGTCAACCAGCTAAACCTGGTCGACCCAAGGGCCCCCAGTTCTAGACGAATGAATGATGGAACAACTGAGTCGGAGACCTTTTTATATTTATTTATCCATTCTTTTTTTTATGTCCAAAATGCCATGTAACATCCTTATTCAAGTAGAGACAAACATATAATTATACACTTTATACCCATTGAGCCTATAAAAAAGAGATCATTTCTTAGGTGTGCTTCAGAGACCATTCTTGGATTCAACATTTTACATGAATAACAATTAAATCTTTAATAACAAATCAACAAAACCACTAAGGCCCACTTTTAAAAAATAAAATACGCATTTTAATAAATAGATTTATCACATCAAAGTATTATAAATATAAATATATAAATTTAGATGGTATATATATATATATATATATATACATATACTGACCACCATGCAAGTCACGATCGGCTCCGGACGGAATATTTGAATAAGGCGGTTGTAAAAAGTGTCGGGTCCATCTCGGCATCCCCTCGAAAGTTTGGTACGAGGAGCTTGAAACTGAAGCACTCGAATTTGTGGAATGAAAATTTTCCTTCTTCATTAGTAATTCCTTCCGTTCATTTGAAATCTGTTTCGCACGATCTTGGATTTCCTCGAAACTGAAGTGCTTAATTTCTTCGGTTTCCCTTCTCTGCATACTGTAGTTTCGAGGGTTTCTGTTGATTCTGGAAGTCGAGGCAATCGAACGGAGGTAAGCTCTCCTAAAAACTAATGACCTCTCCTTCTTCGCTTCTTGAATTTCATTGCTGTTTTTTAGCTTTTGGCATAAACTAATGTTTGAACTGCTGGGATGATGTCTCTTTCGAAGCCTTATCATAAGCCTTCACGTCTGGGCGTTTATCAGGGTTTGACTTTTTGCAGATTTATAATAACATAATGAGGGACTTTTTGACTAGAAGTAGGATTTAATTCAAGTGAGAGGTCGTAATTCCTATAAATCCTGATACAGCAAATCTTGATGCTATAAAATCCTGAAAGCTGTTATAATTGTGTAGCTCTACTAAATGCTTATAAACTGCTTAGCCTTTTATTTTAGGAGTTAATATTTAAATGAATACGCTAATAAATTAAGGTATGGGGGAAGATAAAAAACATCATTAGCGTTGAATCAAAGGTTGTTTGCACCACTCATTTTTTTCATGGCGTAAGTAGATTAATGAAGAAGAGAAATTCGGTTTAAAACCAGAAGAAACTATGGGCTTTCTCAAATTTTCGAAAGAGATGAGCTCCCTAATGCTTGGTTTAAAACTTAAAACTAATTACAGAAACCATAAGCTACCCACCCAAGCTGGTGTCCACAGTTTTTGCACATGATGACAGTCCATCAAAATATCTGAACCACAAACGAATAACTGAATCAATCGATACCATACATCACACGGCAACATAACTAATTTCAGCACAATGGTCTCTAAATACTTGCACCTGTAAACACGCAGCTGAATTGATTATATAATAGAGAGCTGAGATAAGAGATTTCTGGTCCCTATATGTCCTCCTTTCTTCGTCCATTGTGTCTTCATTTACAGCTCACAAGTGCATAAGAGCTCATTTTTTCATCAATCTACTCACTTCCTCCAACACTAAACATAAATCATTTCAACAACTATAAAATAAGCCGCCCAGATACACACATCGTAAAATATTTGGTTGCTTATGCCACCTTGGATACAACCATTAACACTTAATAAACTACTGCCAGAGCTGTCCCATGTGCTTTTATCTGTTATGCAACTCATCACAAATGTTATAAGTTCATGAATTTAACCACTGGACAAATCTACATTTCATGCCATTTGTAGAAACAAGCTTCCCAATCCAATCAACTTCACAACAATCTACTCAACCTCTTAACTCTCCTATCACCACTTACCACCCTCTACTCGCTCAAGTTCCCCATCTGCCACAATATTAGAGTCAACTATCTCGTCATTCAGCCTTCACCATCACTGTTGCCATCCCAGTCCCAACATCCTTTGCAACCTACGAAACAACAAATGGTCACTCAGTTACACACTGGGAAGCTCAAACCTAGAAAAATCCTGAATTTACATCATATTATCGACACCTCACCTCAAGAGCCAAGTAGTTATCCAACAACCATAAAATCACCCAGAAGGGAAAGCTTATGTTTGAAGAAATTCAAGCATTGCTCTTACAACAAATGTGGATTTTAGTATCTCCTTCATCCAATCAATAGATACTTGGATGTAGATGGACTTTGCAAACTCAAATATCACAACAATGGCACAGTAGCTAGATATAAAGCGAGGTTTGTCACCCAAGAAAATCGACAGTAACATGGAGAGATTACGATCAAACTTTCAGCCCGATCACAAAGTTTCCAACAATTCACACTTCTTACCTTAACTACCAACCACAAATGGCTAATCACCTAGCTAGCATTCTGAATGCATTTCTAAATGGCCAGCTCTTCGAAACTGTGTATATGGCACAACCACTGAGATTTTGAGATCTCCAACAACCAAGGCACACGTGCCTTCTCCAAATGGCCATCATTGGGCTGATATAGTCGCCTCACCAATGGTTTAATACCTTTCTCTCCACCCTACAAACTCTTGAGTTCTCCTTCAACATTGCCGATCTTTCTCAACAACCCAAGCCTACTTTCTGATAAAGGTAGAAGACCCGCTTCTTACAAGAAACAATCAGTCTTCAATCAACAACTTATAACCACACTAAAGTTCAAGTTCAATCTCAAAAATCAGACCAAGTGGCAAATTTCCTAGGCATACAAATCATATCAACACATACATGAAGATACCTTAGCCAATCTGCCTACGCTTGTGAGCTACTATCAAAAGCGGGAATGAACCAATGCAAACAACAACCAACAACAACAACCAAGCCTTAATCCCACTACGTGGGGTCGGCTACATGAATCTTTTTTCTCCATTGCGTCCTATTTAGTGTCATATTTTCATTTAGTTCTAGTAAATTAAGATCATTTTTAATACAATAAGCCCAAGTCTTCCTAGGTCAACCTCTGTCTTTCTTAACACAAGTCGAATCTAAAACATCTACTCTCCTAATCGGATCATCAGATGGTCAACGTTTAATGTGACCAAACCATCTAAGACGACTTTCTCTAATTTTGTCCGTCACAGGAGCTACACCAACCCTATCACGAATATATTCATTTCGCATTTTGTCTCTAAGTGTAAAGCCACTCATCCACCTAATCATTCTCATCTCGGCGACACTTAACTTATTATTATGCTTCTCTTTTAAAGGCCAACATTCAGCGCCATAGAGCATTGCAGGTCTCACCACCGTCTTATAAAATTTTCCTTTCAATCTAAGCGGTACTTTTCTATCACACAAAAGGCCTGAAGCATTCCTCCACTTCAACCAACCAACTTGAATTCTACTATTAACATCCCCATCTATATCATCATCTAATCGGATCATCAGATGGGAATGAACCAATGCAAACTGATACAAAATCCATCTTCCAACAAACAAAGTTCCATGCCAAAGATATGCAACCATATTCCAAACCATATCTCTATTGGCAGCTAGTAGGGTTTCTCCAGTAACTTACCAATTCTCAGCCACACTTTACATTTTAGTTAACAAATTGTGCCAACAACTTCATCAACCTCTCAATTTAGACTTTACTCAACTTAAAAAATTTCTAAGGTATATCCAGGGCACCATTAACAATGGCTTGCATATTTATCCTGATAAATCATCACTTGATGTATTCTCGGATTCGGATTGGGCAGTTGATCACGACGATAGGAAATCAGTTTTTGGACATTGTGCTTTCATTGATAGGACTCTCATCTATGTCATGTTAAAAAGCAACCCACTATAGCTCCCCACTGTAGCCCGGTCTTCTATTCAAGCAGAGCATATGGCACGTACTACAAAAGCTGCAGACATCATATGGTTGCGTAGACTACTCAATGACTCCCAGTTAACTTAGACGGCACCTACACTTCTCCTTTGAGATAGCATATCAGCACTCGCACTAGCAAACAATCCGGTTTTTACGCCATAACAAAATTTATCGAAGTGGACTATCATTTCATCCATGACTGCATCAAATTAAATTACATCACAATTCATTACATTAATACCAAAAATCATATAGCATATGTTTTCACAAAATCGCTACTCACTAAATGATTATGTAAGTTGTGCAACCAGTTGGTGCTCCAAGATAGTCCATCAACTTGAGGGAAGGTGATACCAAAAACTGCAAGCCACATGCCCAAGCTGGTGTCCACGGTTTCTGCACATGATTATAGTGCATCAAAAGATCTTTACCACAGATGAATAACTGAATCCATCGAGGACATAAATCACACTGCAGCATAACTAATTTCAGCAGATAGTAGTCCATAAATACTTAGCATTGTAAAATAAAACACAGTTGAATTGATTAAAAATACGATAGATAGCAGTTTAAGAGATTTCTGTTTTGTGGTTCCACTTTTTCATCCATTGCTTTTTCTTTTACCACTCACAAGTGTAATCTTCACAAGAACAAATTTTTCTAAAAATTTATAATAATATTGTGCCAGGTCTGATTCTGATCAAAATAAAATCAAACAAGTTAATAATGACATTAACACAACACTCTAATGACATCTAATATTATAAAAAAAAAAGAAAACAAAAAAAATCCACTATCATATTTAAGCTCAAAGATATATGTATTGAAAGCTTTTATCTTACAAACTACGTAACTACCTTACATCTAACATCTTAGTGATGATGATAATGAGGGCCATGATAACAACAATTGGCCTTCTAGGTCTAGAAGTTTTTTAAGCGAGCATTGAAAACATTTCTTCTTTGATGTGAAAAGCTCATGAGGCTCTTGAATCCTGTTATATCTCCTTAAATCCACCTCAACGCAAGATTGACGGGATCTTGTTTATTTTGCCAAGGATGTACTGGTTCATCAAAGGCTTTTCTATAGGAAAACTTCCATTGGTTTTTAATAAGTTTTTAATTTTATAGAAAGTAATGCTTCCTTAAGAAGAGGCATTCTTCTTTATCAAAGGACATGACTCTTTGCTAGGAAATATGATTTGTAGTTATTTAGATATTATAAATAAAATACTTTTAATCATTGTTGAATACACTGTAAGAAATCATCCTCTTCCCATCAGTGGATGCTTTCTCTGTTCAATTTTGCTTATGGCTGTGAGTTTAGCTCGATGATCGTTAATCACTCGAAAATTAATTCTAATTTTCTGTCGGATCTAGCTTGGATCGAAATAAAAGAGCTGAGCTATGAGCCAAAATTTTGGATCAAATTTTTTTCGAGCCGATTTATAGTTTAACCCAGCTCGACTTGAAATCGGATAGTTAATTATCTTAGTGATGTTAGGGCCATGAATTTAACAAATTTAGCTTAAAGATTGTTAATCACTCGAAAATTGATTCGAATTTTGGCTCAGATTGAGATCGGATCGAAATAAACGAGCCGAGCTACAAGCCAAAATTTTGGATTTATGATTGAACTTTTTTTTAGCCGATTTTGAGCCAACTCCAACTCGACTCGAAATTAGATCGTTAACAACCCTAATGTTGTTGAGAAGTTATGGAGAAAAACTTTCAAAGTTGCTATCTGTGCTTTTTGGTGATTTCATTTATATTAGAGGTGATTTTTCTGATTAACCCTTAAACTATTATGATTATGGTCAAATATTTTCGGACAGAACGTGCATGTGCATACCTTGACACATAAAAATCATCATCTACTTCTAATTTTTCCTATCAGTTTGTGTGGATCCTCTCAAATTCTTGGATGGCTTCTTCTATGGTGTTTTCTCATGTTGCTTCAGAGTATTATCCCAGACCCACACATTGCAAATGAAATAAACACATAATTCTCATGAATTTTAAAAATATAGAGATCATCTCCATGTATCGAGGCTATGTGTATATCACTATGCTAAGGTTTTAGGATTATGTAGTTGTTGCATGGCATTTGTGTGTTTATTTCCAAGCATATAAGGTTTTTGCATCTGTTTCAGATACCCCAGGTAACTATTTTCATTCTCTCTGTTTAAGATTTTGTAACATTTATTTAAAGAAGTAAATGACGGTAAGGATACAGCTCAATTGTCACATGCATAATAGCATCAACATCATTATGACTAAACTTATACTAACCTTATCCCAAAAATTTGGGGTTGCTTTATGAAGCTTCATTTTTTATACATCACTTATTGTTAAATGAATGTAGTAGTTTTATTGATAATACTAGGGTTTATTATTTATACAGAGCAAGTTTTTTTTACTATATTCAGCCTATTTTTCGAGTTTACCTTCCATTCTGTAGCGGGCATTCAGTTATTTATTCATTTTTTATTGATTTTTGTAGATCCTTTTGGTCTTCTAAAGCATGTTTGTTTCAAGTGATCAATATGCAAGCATCTATCTCATTTTTGTCACACCTGGAGGCTGTTTGATTCATTATGCTTTTTAATATGTCTCATATTGACTGTAGCATTTTGTTTGAATAATAGTGTAATATTATTTAATGCTATTTGTCTAATTCATTGCATTGTCCTTCTGTTCCTAGCTTGGCCATTTATTATAACTTCACTGGGGTCTACGGGTCAATATCCATCCTCCCTCCACTCCATACATTCTCCCTTCAATGTTTGTTACCAAAGAATGCGAGTGTTAGCAGAATGATTACATTTTTTTCTGTCACCTTCAATTTGTTAACTTTTTTTTCTGTACTTCGTTGTAATTTGCAATGAATTTATTCATTGTTCTGAACTGTTTCTAAATGTGACCCATCAAGTTTATTTTCTGATGATTTTGATTTTCAAACTCTATACATGTTCATATTACAGAGAGTTAAAATTTATGCAAATTCCACATACCAAAAAATAGTTAAACATGCAGGTCATGATAAGTGATGATTCAAATGATTTATCGGCTGGAAGTGAACCGGATTATATGGAATATGAAGAAGATGAAATTCACTTCAATAACTTATTTGTGGCCGCCACTTGTGCCATATACATGTATCATCAGAAGTACATATGTAAGGTTCCATCCATGCCATTAAAAGATACCGGAGAGTTGTGGGTTCAAAACGTGCTTAATGGCAATCCATGTCTATGCCTTGAGGCCTTCAGAATGCCGAAGGAAGTCTTCCTCGATCTTCTAGGAGAACTGGGATCCAAGTATGGTTTAAGCGGCTCTAGAAGCACTTCAATCAAAGAGGTACTTGCCATGACTTTATCTGTTCTTGGACGGAATGAATCCAACAGAACTGTCTGCAAACGATTCCAACATTCAGGGGAGACTGTTAGTAGATATTTCAACGAGGGCCTTTCAGCACTTGTTCGTATGTCTGTGGATATAATCTCTCCCATTGATTTTGTACCGGAGAATGCAAGGGATGCGAAGTGTCTGCCATACTTCAAGGCAAGTTGATTCACTATTTACTGACATGCCACTGATTTCTATCTATTGAACACCTAAATTTTAATTTTTACATTTAGATCACCCAAATCTTTCGTGTCACATAAAAAATATCGTCATTTTAACTTTTGAAAAGTGAAATACACATTTTTCATGCATACATAAGGCGGTATGTAAGTAAAAATTTAAATTTTCTGTTGATATGTAAATACATAAGAATTGAGTAGTATATATGTAAATCTTCCTTCGAAAAAGCTCTTACTAAAACTTTGGTTTTCTTGTTTGTCAGGATTGTATTGGTGTAATAGATATTACTCATGTCAAAGCTCGTGTTCCTGTTAATAATCAAATTGTTTACACTGGGAAGAAAGAGAGTCGTTTTGGCTATTTGTGATTTCAACATGTGTTTTACTTTTGTTGTCCCTGGTTGGGAGGGAACAACAAAGGATGCAACAATCTTGACCCATGTTATTGGAGACCCATCATATAATTTTCCTGCTGCATTTAAAGGTTAGTCTTTTGCTAAAAATGGAAGATATGAGCAAACGTAAAAATTTTTATTTTTAATCTAAAAGTTTATATTCAGGAAAATATTATCTTGTGAATTCTCAATATCCAATGAGACGAGGTTTTTTAAAACCATATATGGAGTATTCACATGAATATCAGAAGATTTTTAATGAGAGGCATTCAGCACTCCATAATGTCGTCAAAAGGGCTTTCAGAATTTGGAAGGAAAAGTGGACTGTGTTGCAGGATATGCCTTTTTTTTCTAATGAGAAGCAAAAGTTGATAATAGCAGCGACTATGGCATTGCATAATTACATTCGCAGGCATCATTCTCAATCTAATTCTAATTCAGGAGAATTTGATGAAAATGTTGAATTTTTGACTTTGGAGACACAAGGATATCACGTGGGAGATGAATCGTTGAGTCAGCCTGGACGTGATGACGATGAGAATAACGACACGTCTATGGCGTTGAGAGATCGCATTGCACATGAATTAGCCACATGTGCAGTAAGTATTTGATGTTACGTCCAAGTTTGAATTATAATACTGAATTTGTTTTCGTAGTTAATTTTCGTATTAACTGTCACTTTACCGAGAGTTTAGTTTTTATGCAAGTATATTTATTTGGCTTTTTTGAAGAAATATGGATATATATTCTTTTAGTTCATTTACATGAAGTTACTTCCCATTTCTTTATGAATGGAAGTC